TTTTGTAGAACTCAAAAACAAAAGGAAATTTCGAAAAATTTTATTCCTGATAAAACATTACATTTTTATAGTACTTTATCATTCACTAATTAGTTTTTCCAAAAAATAAATAGTTTCACGGTAAAGAAAGAATAGACTCTTAACACAATTAGTTTGCATTGTTGGTGTTTGTATAGGCTGAGAAAAAAGTATTCAAAGTCTAAGTGAGCGTTAGGCCCGCTTTGTTGAAATTGTGATTAGATTTATTGTTCTCTTAGTTACAATAGATGTAAAATTTTAAGCGATTACTTCAAGATTGATGAATGTTTTTTCTACGGCTGTCAACCAACTGAAGCCGATTTACACTAGGCATTTTTTACTTTTACTTTTTTACACTCAATTTCAGAATAAATACGTATGAGAATTGATTTATATTTTCAGACAGTTTACAACAGACAAAAAAGTAAATAAAATTGACTACAATTTGTTACCTTCTAAATTCCAATGAACTGGAATGTCGAATTATGTATTTATCTCGAAATTAATTCCTCTCAGTACAATTATTTAATTAGCATCAAAAACATAAACTATTTAAATGAATTATAAAATAAAGTTAGATATTCAGAATTCAGTTCAATGTAATTTAAGTCTGACTTACACAGAGCAAATTTTAACACATTATTAACAATAAATCTGTTTTACAACATTAATTTATCTAATAATTACGTTTCCATCAATACACTAGTAAAAACATAAATTATTTGAATTAATTGCAAAAATGACAGTTTTAATGAGATTAGTTTTATTTCTCTTTGTGTATCTTTGGATTTTCGGTATGTTTCATTCCACTCAATCTAATCGAAGTCTGATTTACTCTGGACGAAATCTGCTTATTAAAAACACTTTGATTTTTCATCTTTTTATGGTTTAAATTTCGCTTTTTGACCATAACTACAGCACAACTATAATTTGCCTACTTTAGTTTGTTGGTATTTTTTTAATTAATACATTTTGGTTTTTATTTTATTAAAATGTAACAAATTTATTTTTTTCTTGAAATTCTAATCTAAAATCAACTTTTGAATAAGTGTAACCCGCCGACAATTTAAATAAAATTAAATATGAATAATTACCTTCTAAATTCAGTAAATTCCTTAAATTATTACTCTTATTATTTAAATAAATTACAGGAATCTCGCATTAATTACTCGTAAAAACTCTAATTGAATTTATCAAAACTGAATTCCTTTCTACACAAAGCTTGAATTAATCAAATTACAAAAAGTTTTATATTTTTGTCTTAAGATCTAATCTTTTAGCAAAAATTTGAAAAGTTTAATTTATTCGTTGGGATTCTCTCTAATTAAAGATTGAGTTACACAGAAAAAATCACACAAAAGACAGTTTTACATAACTCGAATTTGTGTACCTACAGTCGATCAGAAAACTAAAAAAACACGTTTCAACTTAACGCCTCTTATTACTGTCAAAGTTTCTTTAATTTTAATTTTTTAGGAACATTTGTTGATTGTTGTATACAAAAAGTTTTACACAGCTCAAATTTGTGCAAATTTGATAGAAAATTAACTTAATTAGGTATGGTTAAAGATTGATTTACACGCAAAAAATTCCAAGACAGAATTTGTCACACAGAATTTAAAACACAATTTACACAGATCGAATTTAAGCACAATTAAAAATTAAACAATACGTTTAAAGTTTTAAATATTGTGTTAAATCGTTATAGTTGTTTATTATTTAAGTAAAAAAAACATGTGAAAATAAAGTCATTTTTACACTGTTAAATGTTCAAAAACATTTTTTGATAAAACATTGTTTTGTAATTTTTTATAATGGTTAAAGATCAATTCACACACATCAGATGCCAAAGCAGAATTTGATGCATCCTGATCACAACAAGACGGTTTTACACAGCTCAAATTTGTGCAACTGATACAAAAAAAATATTTTAATATTCTATACTATAATATTCTGTAAAAACTTTTTATTGTAAAAGTTTATTTTATTTGAATTTTAAAGAGACGTTTTGACACTGCTAAATTTTCAAAACCAAAAAATATTTGTAAACTTTTTAATTCATTAAAAAATGATTTACACACGAAAAATGCAAGAGAGAATTTGACTTATTTTGAACACAAAAAACACCTTTAACACAGCTCAAATTTGTCACAACCGATAAAAAATTAATTGTAAAAATTTTAATTCTGGTATATAGTTAAAGAGTGATTTACACACGAAAAATGCCAAAAGAGAATTTGACACATCCTGGATACAAAAGACCGTTTTACACAGCACGGATTTGTACAGTCGGTCACAAAAAAAAACGTTTAAAGGTTCAAAAAAATGCTGTTAAACTGTAAAAGTTTATTTTATTTCTTTTTTTTAATGGCATGTAAAAATAAAGTCGTTTATACACTAGTAAATATTCAAAATTATTTTTTTAAATAAAATATTGTTTTGTATTTCTTTGTAATTAAAGGTTGATTTACACAACACAAACGCCAAACTAGAAAAAACACATTATGATCGCAAAAACACAGTTTTACACAACTCGAATGTGTAAAAAAAAAACAAAAATACATCTAACGTTTTTAATATTATTCTCTAAAGGTTTATTTGAGTTAGATTTTAAAACACTGGTAAATTTTCAAAACAATTTTTTTAATAAAATATTATCATTTTGATTTACACACGAAAAAAAAACTATTTGACACATTGGAAACAAAAGACAGTTTTACACAGCTCGAATTTATGCAATCGATACAAAAAAATATTTTAAGATTATTCTATTAAAGCCGTTCTCATACTGCTAAATTTCCAATCAATTTTTTTGATAAATAATTATCATTTTGATTTACACACCAAAAATAAAAAAGTTTGACACATTTAACACAAAAGATAGTTTTACACAGCTCGAATTTATGCATAGTCGCCCACCAAAAAAACGTCTAAACTTTAAAAAAGATGCTATTTTGTGTTGATTTTTTTAACAAAACGTGAGCATAAAGTAGTGTTTTTTGCTATAAAATCACCAAAAATAGAAAATTTGACACATTGAACACAAAAGATAGTTTTACACAGCTCGAATTTATGCATAGTCGCCCACCAAAAAAACGTCTAAACTTTAAAAAAGATGCTATTTTGTGTTGAATTTTTTAACAAAACGTGAGCATAAAGTAGTGTTTTTTGCTATAAAATCACCAAAAATAGAAAATTTGACACATTGAACACAAAAGATAGTTTTACACAGCTCGAATTTATGCACAGTCGCAACTTTAAATAAGACGCTATTTTGTTCGAATGTTTTAACAAAACGTGAAAATAAAGTAGTTTTTTGCTATAAAATAAATTAATTGTAAAAATTTTATTTATGGTTAAAGATTGATTTACACACAAAAAATTCCAAGACAGAATTTGACACGTTTGGAACATAAAAAGGCAATTTTACACAGAGCGAAATAAGCACAATTAAAAATTAAAGAATAGGTATAAAGTTTAAATTTTGTCTTACAGTCAAAATAGTTTATTTTATTTTATTTTAAAAAATATGTGAAAATAAAGTCATTTTTACATTGCTAAATTTTTGATACAAGATTGTTTTGTAATTTTTTATAGTGATTAAAAATTAGTTTACACACAACAGATGCCAAAGCAAAATTTGGCAAATCCTAATCACAACAAGACGGTTTTATTGATACCTACATTAGAAACAAAAGACAGTTTTACACAGCTCGAAATTGTGCACAGTCGCTAACCAAAAAAACGTCTAAACTTAAAAAAGGCTATTTTGTTTGAATTTTTTAACAAAACGTGTTTATTGCTATAAAATGAATTCGTGAGCTTTTAGATTTTGCGAGAGCAACAGAGTCCTTTCACACAATCGCATTCTTAACTCTAACAGTGTCGAACGCAATTAACGTCTGATTTATTCCAACTGTACGTATTGATTTATCCTCATAAATAATGCGTCATTCGCTTGTTTTTATCTGGATGCGCGCTTGTTATTGCGATCGAGTGCTAGTACGATATTAATTAAATCTAATTGGAAACGATTATTACGGTATATCTGCGCAATGCATGTAAAATTTATTTGCTATCTTGTTTCGAACGGCAAAAGCCACCAGTTTTTCCAATTCAATTAAATTCAACTTAATTGACTTGATTTTTTTGCAGCTAGCGCCCCCACGGGTCCCCCCATCGTGCGCTGCGCCCTCCGGAAGCACAAACCCAACCGAAAGCCCCGGACTCCGTTCACCACTCAGCAACTCCTCGCCCTCGAGAAGAAATTCCGGGACAAGCAGTACTTGAGCATAGCTGAAAGAGCGGAGTTTTCCAGTTCGCTCCGGTTGACGGAAACCCAAGTCAAGATTTGGTTCCAGAACCGGCGGGCGAAGGCCAAGAGGCTGCAGGAGGCCGAGTTGGAGAAGTTGCGACTGTCGGCGCGGCCCCTCCTGCCCCCGAGTTTCGGGATTTTTCCGGGCGGAGGGCCGCCGCTCGTGAGCCCCTTTCTGGCGGCCATGGCCCATCGGCCGCCGCATTTCGCCTTTCCGGGCGCTCCGGGCCACATCCTCAACATCCCCCAATGACAGTGAGTGAGTTGTGGAGTGCAATTTTTCGATAAGACTGACTAGACTTTCTGTTTTTGTATAAATGTGAGTTTTGTTTATGATGATGATGTACAAAAGTTTATTTAATTTCGTTGTATTATAATGTACATAGGAGGATATTAAATGTTTGTTTTTAAATGGGGGCTTTATTGGGTGGGTTCTGGGAGCCAATTAGTGCAAAAATGAGCGAATTTAAATTCAGACCAATCGTTGATCATTAAAGCTGCTTTGATCTAGATCGGAGAAACAACGACTCGGGTAATTAAAACCGAGAGGCCTTATTGGGAAATCATAAAACACATTTCAGAAAGCAATTTGTATCATTAATTAACAAATTAACATTTAAATTATTAATAGTCCGCATTCTTACGGGTTATAAATTACGGTCGGGAGGTGATCTTGTTATTTTACAACGGCCGCTTGAGCTGCCGTTTCGAAAACTAATTACTTTACTATAAATCCTCTTTCGAAATTTTTATTTATAGATTTTAGCAGCAGAGGCGAGAATAACCGAGATTGAGGAGGGCCGAGGAGATTGCTAATTTACTGACTCCGAATTGATTCATTCACTCGCCGGTTTTCATTTCTATAACGAACGATTTATTAACCGAGATGCTTATCACGAGCTACCGCGAAATTTAAGAGCAATAAGTTAAAAACAAGGCTAAACTGTACTCAAAAAAAATCAAAAAATAATTCAAAGTATTAGTGTCTGTTCCAAATTGGCGAAAAAAGTCAAGGTCAAGCAAAAAAATAAACCGCAATTGGAAACTTTGATTTTTTGGGTAGGTATTCATATCACCAAATTCACTTTTTAATAATTTGGATATAACAATTTATCAAAAAAAAACTGATATTTCGTGTGATTTTGGTAAGAATGCTTTAAACATTCAAAAAATTAGTTTTCTTTTTAACTGGGAATAAAGTGAAGCTTTATTCTCCCGTTTTTGACTAGTATTCTGGTACTTTACACCTTCGTGAATAAAATAAATGAAACAGCGATTCTTATGCTAAAAATAAACTGGAATTGAATAAATAGAATCTTTTGAGTGTTTTTTTACATAAACACAATCCGTGATACAGATTTTTATTCCTAAACTTGCACTTGAATGAACTAAAAATTTTGACGTTATTTAACAAATTTTCAACCTGTTTCAAATTGGCGAAAAAAGTGAAAGTCAACCAAAAATAAACTGCAATTGGAAATTTTGATTTTTCTTTTATAATAGTATCTCAGAAACACCAAATTCACTGTTTTTTTTTTATAATTTTATTACAACCATTTACCAAAAAGAGAGAGTGATATATCGTGTGATTTTGGTAAAAATGCTTCAAACATTCAAAAAGTTTGTTGTCATTTCAACAGCGAATAAAGTGAAGCTTTATTCCTCCGTTTATGAATAGTAATCTGGTACTGTATTCTCTCGTGAATACAATAAATGAAATAGCGATTTTTTTTCTCCTAAAATAAACTACAATTAAATGAAATGAATCTTTTGAGTTTTTTGACATAAACGCACTCCTTGCTAGCGAGTTTTATTCTTAAAATTGCATTTGAATGAACTCAATATTTTGACATTGCTTAACAAATTTTTAGTGTCTGTTTCAAATTGGTGAAAAAAGTCAAGGTCAAGCAAAAAATAAAACGCGATTGAAAGTTTTGATTTTTCATTTATAATATCTCAGAAACACCAAATTCACTGTCTTTTAATAATTTGGTTACAATAATTTACCAAAAAGAAAGACTGATATAGGGTGTGATTTTGGTAAAAAGGCTTTAAACGTTCAAAAAATTATTTGTGTTCTTCTCAACAGGAAATAAAGTAAAACTTTATTCCTCCCTTTTTGACTAGTAATCTAGTACTTTCTTCCCTCATGAATAAAATAAATTAAATAGCAATTTTTACTTTTAAAATTAAGTACATACCTACAATTAAATGAATAGAATTTTCTTGGTGTTTTTTGACATAAACACACTCTTTGATACCAATTTTTATTCTTAAAATTGCATTTGAATAATCTAAATATTTTCGCATTATTTGACAAATTTTCAGTGTTTGTTCCAAATTAGCGAAAAAACTCAAGGTCAAGCAAAAAATAAACCGCCATTGAAAATTTTGATTTTTCATTTATAATTTCTACGAAACACCAAATTCACTGTCTTTTTAATAATTTGGTTATAACAATTTACCAAAAAAAGATTGTTATATCGTGTAATTTTGGTAAAAATGCTTTAAACATTAAAGAAATTTGTTTTTATTTTAACAGGGAATAAAGTGTTTTTGACTAGTAATCTGGTACTTTATTCCCTCGTAAATAAAATAAATGAAATAGCTTATTTTTATTTTGAGTGTTTTTTGACAAACACACTCCTTAATACCGATTTTTATTCTTAAAATTGCATTTAAAGAAACTAAATATTTTGTCATTATTTAACAAATTTATCATTTTCTTATGCTATTATTAGTTTAGTGTGTTGGGAAAAAAGTTTTGTATGCATTTTTCTCGATTGTAAATGCCCTCGGCTTTCTTCTGTCACCTCTGACATCACCTACATTCTCGGAATTAAAGCAGCTGTTTATTTATTTGATACCACTACAAAAGCCACCTCAATTTTGATTTTTCTAAAAACTTTATCTATTATGTCATTGAATATTTTATCAAATTGCTTTTAGACTACCAAAACATAATTATAGTAAGAAATTTTTACACAATATCATATCTATTGAAAGTTTTTCTGATTTAAATGTCAAATATAAAATATCAAGGCTCGAGTGGCTATTGTTAATGGTCAAATAATTTTCAAGTCATTTCTTAATTTTTTTTAACTATTTAACATAACACAATGTAAAGAAAACTGTAAAAAATGCCTAAAAGAACTTTCAAATTGTGTCAATTTAATGTTTCTTGTCACCACCAGATCTGAACTGATAAGAAATAAATGAATAAAGATTTAAGATGTAAATGTTTATTTTTTATTTTATTACAGAAGCTACTTTTTTAAAACCTTACAATGTTCAGTACTTTAACAACTCTTTTTAAACATTTTTTTAAACTATGGGTTGTGACATAATGTTTTTAAATAAACACGTTGTTGAAAAAGCTCTATAAAACTTTAAAATTAAAAAAAATATATGTACCTACTTTTAGTAAAAGCCACTGTAAACATTTAACTAAACTAGTTTTTCTACTCTTTTTCGGTATTTCTAAAAATATGAGGTGATTTTGATAAAAAATATATAATTTTATAGAGAAAAAAATGAGTAAGATGGATTTTTACTATATGGTAACTTTGGGAGAGATGAGCAAAGGGGAGAAATAGCCTGTGCTTTTAATTAACAACAGAGAGTTAACAAAAGAGTAAGTAAGTAATTAATGTTTTGTATTTTTGCTGTAGTGTAATTTTCTAGCCAACATAATTAAAAATCACGCAAAGCGAACAATGGATGTTTTTATTTTTAATCTCTTTTCTTTTTGTTTAATTTTTTTTCAAAACTGTGGTCTTACTTACCTTAAATACAGGCTGTCTCAGAAATTAGTAAACAGTTAAAATTATTTATGCCGAAATATAACAATGATCGGAAAATGTTGTGTGGAAAGTAGAAATTATAGGGGGATGGCGGCTTTGCCGCTCGCCCCCGTCTAGAACTTACACTATCAGATTTTTTCGAAATTTATAAACCCTTATTATATTATTATTATTATTATTAAATTATTCGGGGCTTCGCTCCTGAGTAGAACTCACACTATCAGATTTTAACGACATTTGTACAGGGTGTGTCAGAACTTGCGTCCCAAAGAAAAATTTCAAGTAAGAAAAGTTCCCAGAAATATGGAAAAAATGTAAAAACAAATTTGAGATTTATTTTTTGACATTTTTATATACCTATTTATTGAACTGATAAACTTGTTTTTATAATTGTTTTTTTATAATTATGTACTAAAGGTAGGTATATAAATTTTGATAATAAAAGCCACAAATAATTTTAAACAGAGTTACAATTTAGAATACAGCTTCCATGTTTCCTCTTCTAATAGCCTGTAGCCAAAAAAATTGGAAAATTATTTTTCCGACAGAAATAAATAGAGTCAAAGTGTGAAATTGAAACTCTAATAACTTCAAGTTTTTTATAAATAGATTTTTTTTAACATTTCTTTCATGTTCCTGATATCTTACCTTACATGGAATTTTTTTTCTAGGGTGCAAATTTTGGCGCATCCTGTATACCTACTTTTTTATATTTGTATAGATAAATTTTTAAACCTTTTAAAAAAAAAGTTTCATTATTTTATTATTAAATTGAAAACGTAACTATTTAGTAATTTTTAATTTTTTTACGAGCGTTACAGCAAAAACAACAAAATTTTTAAAAGCTTCAAACTAAAAGAATAGGAAACTAACAAATCCAAATATATATTTTTTTCATTTTTATTTGTGTTTTCACAAAATCAAATTCAGTTTATAGTTGAAATGAGAGGCAGTGGCCTGGGTGTTTTAATAAAAATCGTTGTTTGTCTTTTTATTAGTGTTCGATTTCCGTTGTTTCCGTAATTGGAGCAGAGGCTATCAGATCCCTCTTCAGTAAGTGGTGGCGTGTTTGTTAAAAATCGTCTGGTCTCCTGTATCTGCTACCGTATCAGAATATTTACATTCCAAACAACCTCAACTTTGTTCTATCAAATTTAATTATCCACAAAGTCGGGAATTCGGTCTCAAGCATCCTCCGTTTATCTCCCATCCCATTAATAAATTTCATTTTATTGACTCGTTCTTAAATTGGTTAACTACCGTGCGGCCTCTACCACAATTTGCGTAATTAAAATTAACATTATAATCTCCAGAGACGACCAATTAAAAGACGTGTCGGATATTGAATAATAATCACCACTGCTACTAGACTTAGTTAAGCGTTACGAGAAGCGATTTACGTAAATTAAACAACTCGACGGCAATTTGTGAAATTATTTCGCGGAATTGCAACCGAGAGTGGGAACGAGAGGAGAAGAAGTGGTGGCCGGCCGCACTCGAGCAGCCATTGTGCGAAATCGAATAAAAATAGAGGAAACACTTCTCAGAATTTAATTAATTAGCTTTATCGCGCGTTCAATTCGAAATTATTTAGAGGCGCAATCAAGTC